TACCCTGCAATTGTAGGCTGAACTTGCACTAAACAACATTTCCTTGTTGCACACTTCCGTGTCGGTGTGTTGGTGATTGTACTACAGAAAGTGTAGGTTGCTGGTAATAACCTGTCAGAATCAACCAGTACTTAAAATGAGCAATGGTCAAGAGCTCTGAAATTCATCCCCCACGTCATCAGACGTTCATGTCTTTTGGTAGAAGTAATCCAACTATGAAGACGCAAATGCCGATCGCTACACATTGCTTCCTTTTCAATGATATTGAAGACGTTACGGAAGAAAATAGCGCCTGTACATAACTGAAACTAATCAAGAGCTACTTATTATTTAACACCTGAGATTGGTCCCAGCATATCAACAGACAATTTCTTATTTCCCAGTTTCCGGCTTACACCTCACTATTACCAAATATCTGTATGAACGGATAAGATCTGTAAGGTATCAGCCTTCCTGAAACAGTATAAAATAAGCACGAAAGCATTGGTGGAGAGTTGTGATTCACCTACTTCGTTTGTTAAGAATAGGCTACACACAGTGATATGATTAGACCAGTTTTAAACCAAGAGCCATGCTCGCACATCATCTCCACATAAAAAAATATGGCATGGACGAGTTTGGCAACACATCGCACTCAGGAAAAAATAAGTTCAAAGTAAGTCAACCAGCTTTGAAGAAAGGAATGGAAAGGGAAGATAGCGTTGAGGAGACATACCTTCCAGAGAGCAGATCCTTTCGCAATTGTAGACAGAGCAGATAGCGCGTAATTTCGTCGTAGATGTCCTCATGCGGCTTGGGCGGATAGATGCGGACACCAAACCAAAATTGGGTGTTTTCTGAAGCGAAATTCGAAGCCTCTCAAGTGAATTCAATCATTATACTCAACTAAGAAAAAAAATGGCTGTTGATTCGGGAACTTGCAACAATAAATCACCATCAATTCCAGCTTTGAGGAAAATGTATGATCCCAGAAAAGATCTGGAAGGGGTATTTTTGAGCGAAAACTGGTTTTTGTCCTTAAAGGGCCATCAATGGTGTGTTCATTTTAGCTTAAAAATGGAATTCTTCGCGATAGTTTCCGCCAAAAAAGTCTTTGTCTCATGCAAAGGATCCAAGGTGGTCTGGTGTTATTCCCATTTGAAAGCTTTGCCTCTCCGAATAGTTTCTTCATTCCTCATGATTTCGACCACATTCGGACGTATCTACCACACTCATGCGCAACATACCTGTCCATTATTGAAATAATCTACAAGAGCACGCAATTGTCCAGACCTAGTTGAATTACGATCACCTATCACTTTTCACTCACTTTTACCATTTCCAAGGCAAAAAAGACTGGAGAACTTTTAACATCCTCTGGATAAGGTATGTGGGAGTCACACTGATGGCACTCCGATGAGATACGCCCAACATGCTCTTGAAAAAATCTAACATCAAAGTAGATCGAGCGGTCGCCGAAATATGCCCGCCGTAATACTACATTCACTACTCAATGCCACGATTGAATTGGATCCTCAGAGTTCCCATCAGACGATGTGATGAGAGGAACCCCACCAAAAACACTATCAATCAGTAGAGAAACATCTTTTCTACGACGTGATTTCGTTTTGTGAACGATTCCAATTTAATCAGTTACCGGTATACTGGTCATTGCAGAGGTGTGGCAGCTGCAAGCACCGGGGATGAGACTCAAAATAGGACGAGGTTGTGGAGTGTGTTATATTTCATTTACCGTGCACACGGGGATTCATTCTACTGAATTACAGTTTCGCATGGTGGGTGCGTACAGCTCCATTTCTTCTAGACATACGTATTCAAGAGTAACGCAAGCCCAGCAGAAACTTCCTCCCATGCTTTAAATGGAGTAGTATAAACACGCAGTACATCTGACATCTTGGAATTTGAGTCACTCTCGGAGGCTGGAATTAATCGCATTGATCAGCAAACAAAAGTAACTGTCAGCTACTACCTTTTGAGAGTTGTCCTTGGCTATTTAAGTACTTAGCCATTTGCGTAGGCCACTATTACGGTAATCAGACCCAAGACAGAAATGAAGACACTTGATGACTTCCAAATTCAACTAAGGTATTACTTCTTCTAGACTCCGATAGGGATAGTCTACTACTACATTCCGTTAACAAAGTCCACTAAAAAGATTTATTTGAAAAGTGCTTCTTAGGACAATACAATGTTCCATAGCAAGGATAGGTCATAATCGTCCCCCTCCTTAAGCCTTCTTCGAAGTGTTAATGCCATTATATTATCCAAGTATAGTATTCATAGGTATCAGTAGAGAAAGGTATCAAGTCTTCAGATTCAGTTTTTAACACTGGTGCTGTATACATACATATAACACATTTGATTCCGGTATCACTTCATTACTAACCGCAATACAGAACCTGACCTTGGGGTACCTGCCAAAAGTCAAGATTTTAATAATCCTTATGGGATGGGCATACATATACCGTCATCCATGGCAGTCTTCCCTTTACAACGTTTTTCGCAGGGTACCCAGCTGATCCAGGTCGACATAAGAAATCGCTGTAAAAACAGAGCGTGAACTCAGCAGCTGCACCATAACCGTAAAGGACAATGCCCCGTGCAATCAGTAGGGGAGTTAAATCTCGGGAGATGAATGACAGTGAAAATATTCAAATGCCAGTAAAATGATAAAGAGGTCCCAAGTAGGGAGATGGTTGGTGCGCGCGATTACTACAGTTTTTGCTGAAGGGAAAAGAAACCCTGAGGGGGAATTTCATGATCATTGCTTTTAGCCTCACGAGGTCAGAGAGGTAGTAAAAGCAATAATCAGAGCCTTATTAACCTGAAAGTTCAAGGCGGTAAATAAATAGCACCGCATCTGCGGAGCACCTCAATATAAAGAATGGACGGTTTTTCAATCCCTAAATGTGCTTTGATCAAAAATACGACGATTTGTTGGGGAATATGAGTGAGACTTACTTTTACATTGGTCCACTATTCTTCGATCCATCTTCAGCCAAAACTGCAGAAAAAAAGAACAAATGGGATTCTTAATAAACAGTAAAACTGGCGCAGAAATAATCTCATTTTGCCTTACTGCTGATAAACTACTTCAGGGTGTGATGATGAGACTTTGTGATACAAAGGCAGAACCAAAAAGAGTACTGTACTTGCTTTTTCTATTCAAAATAAGCAAATGTCCTTTAAGTGCTAAGGAAACATATTTTTTTTTAAAAAAGAAGGTGCTTAATTTCACCAGGCGAATATATAGGGAACGTCAAGTAGTAAAGCGTATCACTAAATGATGGCATGTTTCGTACGAAGTGAGTGGCATCAAAATTTACTTTAAAATGTGAAATCGTTTCATTACGAAACGCAAAACAGCAATCTTTTTCGTGGCATTAGATTCCTCACATTTCTCGACTACTTATTCTGAAACAAATTACATCACATTTCTACACGGTAACGGTACTTCATGATGCAATAATTTCAGGTAACTCGGCTTTCATGAGTCTGAACGCAGAGAAGTCCAATTCACATTGAGCCTTCTTGTAACATCTTCAAGCACTATTTTTTATATTGTTAAAATATTTTTTTGTGGTCGTCGCACTAGCTAAATGTTCTTATGTTTTTTCCTGAAACACGGATGCAAATGAAACAGTAAAATTCCTACTCCACCTCTAGATATCAATGAAAAAGAATGTCAGATCCCTAGCGGACATACGTACTGAAGAAGGAAAAATGGAAAACTGCTTCCTTTTGACCTAATTTGGCTATCGTCTCAAAATGAAAATTCTTATACGCAATAAACTGCAAGAAGAACCGGCTTGCCAAACAAAATTCGTCGCATGACGCACTCAGATACTAAAGTTCGGGAGCTTTTCAATCGTTGATGCAAAAATCTCAAAATAATATCTTCGACAGGTGGTGATAAGGTATTAATTAATTCATATAGTTTCTCCTCAATGGTTTATTATCAACTCAATGGAGAAATCCGATCCATTTCTTCATACACTTGTAAGCAAAAGCTAACAACAAAATACGGATCGTTCCACTAAATCGCACCTTTGAATTAAACTTTACTAGAACAATAAAAATAAATTCATGAGTAGAACCTTCAAGAATGCTCCAAAACCATGACCTTTAAAGTAGTTCACTTCCGGCACTTTTGATCAATGAAGGTATACCCATCAATGTGTGATCCATAGGTTTATGTGGACGAGAAAGCCTTAGAAATTATCATGAACTAGCAAATTAAGCATTAATTACCTAAAACGCTGTTATGAGGCAACTTTTCTAGGCTACTTAGTTCTTTGCTAACAACAATGAATTTGAGTACAGGCTTGATGCGTCGTATTTAGTCCATTTCACACTGCTGCATGCATCAATGGGTTATCAGATCAGTGCATGAGGCAATTATGGCCAAGCGACCCTAGAACAGTTGTTTTTTTCTATGAAAAAAGGACATTTATTTACTCATGTAGATGCAAAATCAACTAGGAAGTGGAGACCATTATAAGTGGCAGTCTGTGTACGGGAAATCAACTAACTCAATAAAGGAAAACATGCCTCAAAATACTCCACTCAAATGGGTTTTAGGATAAATAACATTGTAGAATGAAATCCTCTGAGGCAATGGGGAAACTATAGAACACCCAGCTGATACGGTAAGCCAGAATATTGGTGATTGAATAATAAACATTAAAAACCCTCTGCACATTTGAGACAGTATACTGATCAACAAATTTCGAAAAGTGGTTCCTCTACCAGAGTCTGCTTTGCTTTACGCTAAAAAGTAGTTGTAGTGGCAAAAACATTCCGCTCGACAAGGCTCGTTTGACAGATTTCGAAACAAGGAAGCGGTTGAACAAATTTCAAAAGCGCGGTTGTGTAAAATGCATTGATCCATGTTTGGGTTTCCGAGAAAGTCGTACCAGAATCAAAAAGCGTCCCATTATTCACCTTTCGGTAGTAAAAAGTCACCTCACCCACGAGTGAATCTGAAGGCTTAGAAAATGTTCGCGTTGATGCAACGGATGAAGAATGCGTCAGTCATACTTAGCCGCCTCCACGGCCTTGAACAATAAAGAAAAAACCGTTTCGACAATTGAAGCGTGCAACTATGAGTAACACCTGACCACTTCCTGTCTTTTTCATGAGAAGACTCGGAGATTCTGTTAAGAGCTGAAGCCAAATTCACTGCTGGGTGTTTTATTTACCGCAAGAAAATAAATACCTCGTCGGTAGCATTTTCAGAAAAGAAAATTAGTCCAGGCTCAAAGATCCCTCTATTAGATTCCTTAAAATCGATGTTTTTTTTTCCCTCGAATTTAAAATAGCAGCGACTTGAAATTCTATACCAGACTTTTACTTATCAATTCCTCGTCTATTAAAGCAAATTGATGTGGGGCATGAGGAAACCACTTCCACTGAAGCAGATCATCGAAAAAATGCGCAGTCCTTTGAATACGCATAGCTCATTTCATTTCAACACTTTACCTCTCCGTTAATGAAGTATATATTGACTATTTAAGCAAATTTCTAGCTCATAGAAAAAAATGCAGAATATTTACCATAATATAACATCAAGCGACTAGATAATGAAGCTGGATTTTTAAAAGATTACGTCTGTTTTTCACATTAACACCGTCAGAGCTAGGAAGCAATGTTTCAACAATAACATGATCAAAAAACTTTCTGACCGGCCACTGCTAGATCGTGCGGGTGAAAATACAAGATTAATAAGCAAACCTCTCGATCCTGAACTTTAAGATGACTCTAGCATCCCAATGTGGACTGTCACCATCGTTGCGATACCTTACAGGTAAAAGTGAAAAGGCAAGAAATGGGCGTGTGCCAATTTCAGCAATTTAAGTAAGAACATGAACACAAAAAACTATCATGTGGATCACGTTAGGGCTGAAAAGGATATCTTCAACGAGTGCGGTGCAGTTAAGTATTTTGCATTGGAGATAGGAAGGTAAGTTTAGTTAACAAGCTAGAGGAATCTCACCGAAACACCACGGTGATGGACGGCGCAGTGTCCAATACCCTCTGTCTGCCAAGGCGTTCGCCTAGATAAGGACGACAAGGGGGTGCTGACGCCTGCAGCATCAGTGGAGGGGTGCTTGAAGAAGTAGAGGCCAAAGAACTCGAGGTCTCGAAGGCCGAGATATTGGCAAACCGCCTTAAGGAGGTCTAACCCGGTTGCCGATTTCTGGATGAGAAACGGGCAAGGTATTCAAAGTTGTGATTGATGCAGTCTCCTTACATAGATGCATAGACTACGGTTAGACAATTCAACCCTTCCAATAGGAGGAGCTAACACTATGGTTAACACAATACGAACACATTAAACGATCATAATAATTTCAATAGAAGGTCATTGAGCTTAAAATAAGCCCCTAGATTTGATAGAATTTGGTAGTCGTATGGCACTTCGCTTTATCGTACTGGTGTTAGAGCAAGAGAATTGTTTATGCAATCGTAATGCACGATTGCAATCGCTTCAGCATGCGCTGCTTTTACCAGCAACCTACACTTTCTGTAGTACAATCACCAACACACCGACACAGGAGAGTGCACCAAGGAAATGTTGTTTAGTGCAAGTTCAGCCCACAATTCCAGGGCG